TTTCGATTTATCCTCGAAATGCTACAGGTTATTAGGACAAAAATTAGATAATTAATTATATTTATGCATGATCGAGAACTGCCACGTGTCGGATTTTTTTTTAATCCTTTTAGTTTTAGAGTTATTCCGCTAAAACAAATTTGGTACTTTTAATGCGCCAAATTCAACATCTCCTGTCGCATGACACGCGAACTTCAGGCATATATTTGTTTCACAAATTTGAAAAACTCAAAACTTTTTTGGCATGCTCCCTCTTAAATTAACTATTGTTCCTTTTAGAAATGTCAAAAATTTCCGATCGACCAGTTGTGAATCGCAATTATATAATCAAAATCAAGCTGCTAGACGTATAAATATTGTACATGCAGCTTGAAAAAAAACTATTGGCCATAATTGACTATCTTTGGATTATAATAATATAATAATAATAACGCACACACTCAACTTAGCCCCGCACTAGGGAAACCCTGTGTCGCGGGTGCCATGGACACACACATAGACAACCACAAATTACACCCAAACTCACGAGATAAATAAATGTAGGCCATGCAAATATTTCTCCCGGCCCGGGAATCGAACCTGGGGCCTCTGCGTGGCAGTCCGGCATGGTAACCGTTCGGCCACGGAGGCAGTTTGGTAGAGCGCCATTTCCATAACACGATTAACTAATGAGCTAACTAACTTTATTGTTTGGCTTGTTTCAGTAGATATTGTACAAACATATTTAATGTTTAATACATACGAATTAACTGCGAGAACAATACAATGCGTGGCAAAATATTTTTAAAATTCCGATGGGGCTGTATGTGTGTGAGGCGCGCCGCCATTGATTTAACAAGAAACATTTACTTTGCATATTGTCTTTCGTAACAGTGATCTATCTCTACCGTTACATTACAATCCCAATTGCTATCTTGGGACCCTTATGTTTGTGTCTGAATTCAAAGACGTTTCACGTTCTCTTCTTCGTATCGTATCGATGGCACACACTATAATGCTTGTCAATGTGGTGAAAGAATTTGCCAATTAGTGTAAGACACTCGAAAATTATTGCCGAGTATGCGCCAAACGTACTTTAGAAACGGTACGTAGCGCGTGGAGGGTCATTTCGTGCACCTCACCCGAATCATAATTCGGCAGCAATTCCAACTCACACATCGTCATCCCCAGAGAACAAAAAGATAACTGCCATTATCACAGTTTTAGTGTTATTTCATATTTAAGATTTTTAGGTACCATTATATCCTTTCAATTATTTTTCGTGATTTTTAAGCAGTTACTTAATAATATTCAAATTTTCTACCCATGCCCAAGTACACAAGAATAAGGTTATATAATAATATTAAACTAATTGAGTTACGTTTCTTAATATGACAAATGACAAAAGAATTATGTTGTCATAAAAATAATTACTCGAAATAACGATACACGCAGTTTTATTTGTAAGTCAATGCGCAGTTATCATATTTTATTCCCGTTTTGAACTGTTTGGGCAGTTCGTATAAAAAAGCAAAATAAAACTAAAGTTGATTATCATATCATGATTTCATTGTAACAGCAGAATAAAAGACCTTTCCAAAATAATATCTTACTATGTTTACGTGAATAAGATAATATGTAATTATTATCTTCACCACTTGTACTATTGCAACTCGTAAAATAAAATGATAACCCACGATATAAATAAACATGATGCTTGATTTCGACTAATTATTTATTATTGAAATCTCCATTTTAGCTTAACTTACGGTTGTTTCATTTATAATATAGAATGCACAAAAAACATTCTTTCCTTAAAGCTCACTATTAATCTACCGACATTCAGTGTTTAAGAACTTATCAATGAAAACATGTTTTTTATTTTTCCTGAAATATTACTTTATTGCGATTATCATTGTGTTCACCGGGGATAGCGACATATTCGCACGTCTCATCGAAGAATAAGCGAAGTTAGTAAAAAATGTTCATTGCTCCATTGAATACAGAAAAATATAGCCTACATCCTCTCCAACTCCTGTAACTCTATCGATTAATAATGTCTTCCATGAGGAGTGCGATATGTGAGTGAGTTTTTACAGGAACTAAAACACACCCTGGGGAAGCCTATGCATTCCGATCACTCCGTTCTACCACTGAAAACAAATGAGAGGTAAATTTATTAAAGGTTATTTTTTCTTCACTTTAATGCCCTCGAGGGTATTAACATGGAGGAAAATATGTATTGGCAAAATGCCCCGTTTATCTACTTACCTATGGAACGTGGAATATACTCGAATTACTTCTTTATTATCGAACAATGTTGCTTGTTTCAGGATACAACTACTGCCATCTAGTTGTGCTTTCGTATAATTAAATATTGTATTATAGTTGTCATTTTTAAATTTCGACGTTTAGTTCTCAAAATGGCTTAGCTCTATGCCAAGTTTTAAGTTTCTCGTCACCTTTACATGTACTGCTTTGCGGTAGAAAACGATCATAATTTACATTATACATACATTACACTTATGTATATATTATACTATACTTAAAATGTATATTCAACTCTGTGTCGCTTACGATAAGACGGTTCAAAATCCGAAGTGTCAATTCGGACGAACTCTTGACCTAGTACCGACGCAAGTGAGTTCCGTACAAAAACCTGTACCAAAAGGGAATGAAAGAAAATTATTTTATTCAAATATTTTCTTCTTAATTTTCGGAAGTGTCTTTTCAAGCTTTAAAAAGAAAATTTATTCGTTGTAATAGGGTGGAGCATTATAAATGTTGGTGGTAAAATTAAATTGGGTAACTTAATTCTTTTCAGATTAAAAAAGGAGCATGTAAATATTGTGATACAATATATTAAAAGATTGACTGAAGAAAAACAAGTTATAACATAATATAAAGATTAATATGTACATGAATTTAGAATCAAACAGTTCTTTTAATTAAAAACCGGCCTCAAAATTCACAAATGGGACAACTACTGAGGTGACCTCTTTCCAACAAAAAAATCATCAATCGGTCACAAATGCCCGAGTTATCGCGTAACATACGAATACATACAAAAAAACGTACTGTCGAAATGAGAACCTCCTCCTTTTTTGAAGTCGATTAAAACTGAAAAAGCTTGTTAGGCTTTCGCGATTTTTACACATAGGAAATTAAACTATTTTTCCAGATTTAAATCCGGGAAAATAGTTTCATTTCAGTAGCCCACAGGATTGCAAGGTGAAATTTCCTCTCGAAATTTGTAACAAGTATGGAATTACACCAAATTCAATATTATTTTACGCGCATAATGAAACGCCCACGATTTTGGGCAGAAATGTGTTAAAAGCTTTGGGTAAAAACCCGGTTAAATCCCCGGCGAGTTGATTGGGTTTTAACTTGCAGCCCATCTCTCATCTTCACACATTGCATAACATCTACTTCAGAAGCATTTTGATTTGGATATTATCATTTTGTTTGAGTTTTTGAGCTTATTTTTTAATTTTAGTGCGGAATGACGGCTGAGTGGAAGATAAATACCTACATGTTGTGCCGACCCCACCAAGCGTTTGATAAGGACAGGAAGAAGAAGAAGAAGAAGTACATAACTTTAAAATTATTAATACAAAAAAGTCCTTCGACCTGACAGGACTTGGACCTGTAGAACTAGAGCTACCGCTTTTCAACTGAGATACAGATCGAGTCAGCAGATCTTACAAATTGTGAACGAATTTGTCACAGATCGTTGGTATCAGGTTTATTTGGGTTTTATCATTGACTTACAAATATATGGTCGACGGGTCTAATACAAAAACCACGAAAAACTGTCCCAAGTCAACCTATTTAAACGTAGTGACATGTAAAAGAATATGAAAAAGCTAAAACGTTAGATTTAAATTGTAATGTCATCGCAGTACTGTCTAATTTTGCTTGCTTCGCTGTCAGTCGAACAAACGAAGACTAAAGCGTGAATGACGCTCTGTATACGATTTTAACGCCCTATAAGTTCGGACACTTTTTAGCGCGGACCCGACGTCCATATAATTGTAAGTCAATGGGTTTTATCCTCATAAACGACAACTGTAAGAGGTCTATAAAATTTCCTACTCAACCGGTACCTCTTTAGCATCAAGAGTCTGACGTGAGATTGGCGCACATGTAAGTTTACGTTCTACTATCTTCAATCTTTGTACTAGTAACAACAACAAAGTAATGGAGTGATTTCACAAAAAAAAACAAAATGAATATCATCATGATATTCAATATAAATCAATAGTACATAATTATAACCTTGGTATGGCAGCCTTATTAAGTTAATTGTGTCAGAACAGAAGAATGCAATAGACTGCCTTATAAGTGGCTCATCATTCACTCAAGTCTTGAGTGAATGATAAGGCACTTACTAGGCAAACGTAATGCCGGCCATAGCCTCACTTTGAAGACTAGGTAAGATTATAGCCAAGTGTAAGCAAAAAAAATAGCAGACGAAAGACCTGTCCAATTGTGCGGCAAAGTAGCAATTTCGAGTTCAATACACTTAAAAAGGTCGACAACGAGTGTCAAGGTCATTCCAATCAACATTACATTATCAACAGCAGCATAACAGCAATAACAATTTTGAAAGCAGCTAGTTCTATAACAAACTTATGTAAAATATTTATTGCAATATTTATTTTAATGAATATTATGTTTTTTTAGTATCATTATCTTCTGATGATATATTTATTTGTGAAAATTATTCTTCAATTTGTTATTTGCAATAATGCATATTCAGCATTAATAAAAGTCACATGATAATTTACTGTGTTTTTTTATATTTCTTCCTCATGTTTTCTAGTATTCGGTATTCGGCTGAATAGCAAAATAAAACAGATTAAATACCGTATAGTAGTCAAATATTCATTACAACTCAAGTACTTAGTCGTAATTAGCAATGACAAATACTCAAATAGGCTATATAAAATATTAGAATACAAATCGCACTTAAAACTTGCTAAGAAATTTAAACTTTCTTTCAGTAACTTGAATCCCATTTTTCTTAAGTTAGTTTTTCATTTATCGACGGTATTGAATCCAACGTGCTAAATTGTTTATTAGTGGCGAAAAAAGTACCAGACAACCACACCAACTACCTAGCCTTAAACCAGGAAACTCCTTGAAATATAAGAATTAAAGCAACAAAATTACTCCAGGGAAGAGTTCCTGGGAATCAAAAATAACCGATCTGGAAATCGAACCCGGAACCTTTTTATCTAGCACCCACGTTGCTCGCCGTTGAGTCACCAAGGTCAACCAAATTTACTGCGCAGACAAGTACCTAGTTAATCTGTTAAAAATAATCAACTACGACCTTGAAATCTGTTTTGTATAACGATTTAATCCCTCTTGAATTTACTTTATCGTGACTTTAAGGATTAAATGTTACTTTAAAAACAAACCGCATCTGTTTCGGCTAGATATCCCTTAGACCTGCCAATTCCATTGCTACAAATGACATTTCGAATGTTGTGATCTCTTTAGTCGTTACAAGCGTTATAACAATTACCTTTAACGATGTCAATACATCTTAAGATAAATTATCTCTTCCGAAATATTAGCGGTAATCCACCACGTATGCTTTGTACGATCGAAGACTTTGGCTCAATCATTGGAAATCGTAAGGTTGTGGGCGCTGGTTCCACTGTGAATCGTGATAGTATTGCAGCTAAACCCGCTATTGACTGCATTAGACCTAAGCGGGCACCTGAAAATACACAAAAACTTTATATTATAATTCATTCAAAAGTCATTCCTGTACTTGTGAAACAAAAATGTGAAATGGTTGCATAACTGTTTACTTACCAATGCAAGCTCGTGGACCCTCACCAAAAGGTAAATATACGAATTTCTTGTCCTTACAATCAAACTCATCAGGGTGGAAACGCTCTGGTCTGAATTGTTCAGGTTTCTCAAAATATTGCGGGTCATTGTGCAGTGCCTGCAGTGGTATTATTATCCCTATACCTTCGTCAATTGTTACATTTATTTCCGGTATTGTATATTTTTTTGCACTTTCTCGAATGAGAAACCCTAGCGACGGAAATAATCTCATTCCTTCATAAAATGTCCACTCCAAATACTTCATCTCCTTTACAGCATCGTAGCTAAGTTCGTTATTATGTTGAGTAAGCACTTGGTCAATTTCATTCTGAACTTTTTTTTGGACTTCCGGATGGAAAGCAAGTTGATGCAAAGTAAAACTTGTAGCTGATGACGAAGTTTCAAAACCGGCGGCGAAGAACACAAACACTTGAGCTGCAATGAGCTCCGCATCCATCTCTAGTGAGGCTTGCTCTGACGTACCATCTGGCTTTGTCCTCTCTATAGACTCACCTACAATAGTTCCTTTTTTCTTCAACTCCAAAAGTAAATCTATGAAATCGTTACGACCCGAAGGTTCATAGTTTCTCTGTCTCTGAATTTCATTGACAAGATTTATTAATTCTTTCTCAGTTTTGAACATGTAATGCAAATGTTTTGTTGCTTCTGGGAATATCTCCTTTAATACACCTATTATGAATTCTGGAACTGTCACATTAAAAATGTCATATCCCAATTTTCTGAAAGCTGAATTTTCGGTTGAAAAAGAGTCCGTGTCGAGGCCAAACCCTATCGAACCAATGAGGTCTGTGGTATAACGCGCCATAATATCACGTGCGTCTAGTACTCGGCTATTACCTTCGGCAGCAGCTGTAATGGTTGCTCTAAGTCGTTCCGCTCGGGAACTGATCAACGGGAACATAGCCTTTAGTTTAGCAGTGGTAAAAGCTGGGGTCATCCGTTGTCGCAGCAGTCTCCACAAGTCTCCATCCGCGAAAAAGAGATTACGCAATAATGGTTCTATTACAGTCTTGTGTGGATTCAGACCTCGTGGATAAAAAAAGGGAAAATCAATAGTGAGAATCCGTTTTGCAATTTCGGGATCCCTTATTACCAATTCCGGTCTCGTTGATCGGAAGAATCCTACAACTTTTTCGCTGGAATATTTCCAGTACATGTCCACTGCAACTTGAGTCACACTCTTTTGCATCAGGTAATTTTGTAAGTTATTTCCAAACATTGGGATAGGCTTATCATGTTTTATACCTCTTTCATGCCAATATTTGAAAGTCCTTGTATTATAGTAATAAAACACGACGAGAATAACAACAACCAAGGTTAAAGCAATCATTGCGCCGCACAACCGCACTGAGTACGAAATTAATTCCGACTGAACAGAGGGCTATCAACTTGTTGTTATATCATAGTCATATTTGTTTTTGCTCGTCGGTATCGCTGACTGTATTTTGTGATACACATAATAAACATACTGACAAACATAATCACTTGATTGTGAAACTAGCGAATAAGTCATCTATTGTATGCAATGAAGATATTATTTTACATTTGATACCTTAAGTATTCCTCTATATTCAGTACAAGCTTTATGCTTTAGGAATTTATAAATATTTCTTAATGATTCAATATCTGTCCTAACGGTATTATGATTTTATTTTAGTTACAATACCAATTATTATTACGTATTACATAAATGTAAACTTTTTGTAATACATGTCCTGATCACGCGATTAAATATAAATATTAAATATCCCACGCGATCGTTAGAAAGTACGAAAAGAAAAATTTGTCATCGGCCTATAAAACGGAATATAAAAAATAAAGTTACCAGCATTTATTTTTGGAATTAAAAACACGGGAACGCAAAGCCAGAGAAATTTTATAATGAATAAAGCACCCATCACAAGTTTCTCTATTTAAAGGAGTATGTAGTTTACACGTTTTATTTTTTTTTAGTTTAGTTTCTAATGTATCCTACTTTTCATAATGAAAATGGTAGGATATAATAAACCAGAGGTTAGGAGTAATTTAACCTTGGCAAAACATGTCTTTCTCATGTTAAAGAGGAAAATACATAAACCAAAAATGCTTAAATCACTAAAAGTAGTGGTTCCAAGAGTCAGTCTCTGGAAGCGCATAAAGGGACATGTTCACAAGTCCCAGTAGCTCGTACTGATATTTTAAAGTTTGCTCCTCGTACAAGGCCAATAAAATAATTAATAGCGTTTCTGTAGAGGTCAATGTACCTGCATGCTCATTGTCGGAATTAAAGAAAGTGGCTTTGCACATTCTTTCTATTACTTCATAACGTGGTTGGATTGGGAAAATCTTTAATGACATTGTTGTTAATAAATAAATAAATATAATGTAAAATCTTATGCCAAAAACATTTCGCTTGATCTGCACGTCGCTATATGCTTAGTTTAAAATCGTAGTACTCCGTAATATCACGTTATTGTATAAAGGCAGCGATGTATTATGGCTGCCAAAACTCGGCGACACTGGCACAAGACTCTAATTCAAGAGCTTTTATTTAGACTTTGAACAAACTGTTTAACGGTCCAGAGATTATGTGAACAATATTTAAAGTTTTGTTTACATTTTCGGGTAAGATTGTTTAAGTCGTTCTTAATTGAATAGAAATCTTAGCAACGTCTTAACTTTCACAAAACAGGTTTCAATGTTCTTACTTTTTTTATAATATAAAGTGACGGGACAAACAAGTCGTGCGTCTGATGGTGAGCTACATCGCAAAGATCTCAGGGGAGCTGTCACTGCGCCAGTCACCCTGAGACGTAAGTTGACAAGTCCCATATGCCTATAAATTTACCCGCACCCTCACCCTTCAAAACCGGAACACAGTAATGCTGACATTACTGCTTGTCAGCAGAAATAGGTAAGGTGGCAATACTTCCCTGGACGAACTCTTTCACAAGGATCTCTACTGCTATTAATAGGTACTTACACCACATTTTAACCAATTTATACACTAAGTAGATTATTTCGAAACGTCATTGGTGTACGCCACGTTGGTAGGACGCCACATTTGTGTCGATACGCTTATCCCATTCTATCTCCAGCACACTAGCAAGAGGGAGCTGAGCTGGAGTGAACTAAAGAGCAATAAGTATCAGGACCTCGGTTCCGACTATTTATTTGCACCCTTTGGAGTCGAAACCCTTGGCCCGACTGTGCGGTCCCGATGCCCTTCATCTTTACAAAATTTTATAAAAAAATTAGTGCCTGAAAAAACTAAGGACCGGCAGCTGCCTTGCTCAATGTATTAGTATAGCTATATAAAGATGAAACGCTGTCAGCATCTTGGGCACCTTGCCGCGAGGATCCAATTTTATTCATACAATTTATCCTAGTTTTTGTTTCTAGTATTTAAAATTTAATTGTATTTTTATTATATACCTTACCTGTCTAAACTAAAAAATAAATAGAAATATACATTTAAGGAGATATTTTTTATGAAAGAACAAGAATTGCAATATTCTTCTATAAATTGACAATTCATAAAAAAGCGTTATATTTTAGGGGTAGAAACAATCAAATTTGTTAGCGGCTTATGAAAATGTCTCCACTCCAAAAACTTTGCACAGTAACATTCCCTATATTGTTGCTGTGGTCCACTAACCTTTTATCTAAAGGCTATTTGTAGTACTTGTGATAGCAGAGTTTGCTACTTAAAATTTAGTCACGCGTTTAATATACTGACCTACTCGTATATTTCGACTTCATTAAAATTAGATAATCATTTATGTAAATAAAATTTATGTTAAGTTTTTGCGATTGTTACAAGTTGGTATATTTGAAATAATTAATAAATACGCAATTTAGATCCGAAAAAATATGTACGTTTTCAAAATGTAATATTACAAGAGATGGTAAGTGTGTAAGTGACATTGAGCCGAGAGTGCAAGTTGGAAATCGAGTGAATAGAGCTCTATATACCTTATTGTGTAGCCAGAATGTCTCAAGATAGGCGCGTTTGCCTGATCCTCTAAGCGTGATGTTCCCAATTCTAATGTATAGTAGTGAGTGTTGAGTGCGGCAGAAAAAACATAAAAGTAGAGTAAATGCTGTAGAAATGAGAGGTTTGCACAATAAGTGCGGTATTCATCTTATAAACAGAATGCCGAACAGTGTAGCAAGAGAGCGTTGTGGTATGAAAGACGATGTAGTGACCAGGATA